CTCGTCTTAGAGCAGGTAGGGCTTTATTGTTAGTTTATTTTTCCAGTAAACTTTGCTTGAATTTTTACTAAAAGATGTAAAATTTTAATTTCTGTTTTTGAGATCTAAGTGCTCTACTCGCCAGTTAGATAGCAAAAACCCAAAACACTATCCACCAGCCACAATTTTGCCCGATTTATCTGTTAAAAATAGCTGATTTCCTATGCTTTAATTATAGGAAATTGGTGAATTCCGAACTCAGCTACAAACCCTGGAGGTATACAGCAGTATTATGATGCCCCTAGTCTACACTCAAGTGAGTTACCATGGCAATAAATCTTACTCCGCTTACTCTGCGTCAATAGATCGTAAAATGCATGCGACAGGGATCGTGTTACTGGCACCGATTCCTCTTAATTGAAGCAATTTTCTTACGCTAGCCTTAGTGACACTCACATTAAGGGCAGATACAGCAATTCCCAGGAGGGGGGACATACCGCCTTGCGACTTTAGAAGTCCAATATCTGAGGGTTACAAGTCCTTTGCCTCTCCATGTACTCTGACTTCTGAGTCCCCCTTAAAAGCACACCAGTCAGGATGACAAATTGACTGTGGTAGATTGGCAAGAGAGATGGATGACTTGGTTGGAGCCCAGTGACACAGAGACAATGAGTTAGTGCATTTTCCCGGTGTACCATAAGAGGAACTGATAAAATTGGTTCCGAGTCTCCAGACTAAAAAAAAGAGGTTAATCATGAGAGGAATGTCAGACTGTCAGCTCGGCAGAGGTCAATTGCATCGTATGTGAATGGAGATTTAGCTAAAACATTCCCAACTTTTACCAACGAGAGCGTCTATCCTACATTTATGCAATGCTTACTTATCTAACCTCCTCCTTGGCCAGGTGGTGATAATCGCAGTGTACAGCTACTTCGGTTGTGAGATTTTGGCCTCCCAATTTCTGGAAGTTGCCAAGGTGCCAGGAGAAGCTGTGGTGGATTTCTTCGTCCCTATTTTCAGTATCTTCTACTTTCTCTTCCTCATGGGATGGCTAAAGGTATGTTTTCTGACCCATTGTAGAAACGTTTTCCATTGGTTGCTTCAGAAGTGCGTAGGTGGGTAAAGTGCGCAAACAGTGTTTGACTTTTTTCTGTTTCATCCTCCGACTTTGTTTAGGTTGCCTTGTGCGTCATGAATCCGTTTGGAGACGATGACGAAGATTTTGAGACATCGGCTATCCTAAATTACAATTTAGACGTGAGTTATCGAAGCGTTTTGATGGATGAGTCGACGTATCCCGAGGGCTTAAGCGCAGCCACCTTCGAGACAAGTACAATGAAAGGTGTGGAGGATGACAACCTGGCCGAGTTCATCAAGAGTGTCTCTGATGAGTTGGCAAGGGTTGACAATGCAGTAGAAACGAACGAGTAAGTGTAAAACGCACAACCGTAAGTTAGAGGCGAATCACCACGGTCCATCTCTGCAATCCTTTAAATTACTCGCCCATCCATCTAGCATGTCAACCTCATTGTTTTCATAACTATAGACTGACGAATCTGGAACTGAGGCACCATCTTTGCGACTGCTGTTTTAGACTTAAGCCAGCTAAAAAACAACGCTTAGGTAAGCTGCTCGGTTTGAGCCCCTCCTGTTATTCCTTATTAACCTATTTCCAATTAACATATTCTAATATATAACTGTTTCAGTAGATTTGATGCATTTATAGTGATATGCTTTAAAGTAGCCTATTTGGGGTTTTTCCCTTAGTTATTGGTTCCTTAGGATTTTTAAAGTTTGCCAAAAAAAAATTTTCGCTCTTTAGGCAGTAACGGATCACTTCCACATATTCACCTTCACTCCAAAAATTACGGCACGAAACACCAGCCCACAAGTGTCTGAACGAATTGATATAAGTGAATATGGCGACTCCTTCCTCACCTTCCTTCCTTCCTTCCTCCTTTGTAGTAAGTGACTTTATAAACCAAAAACGGGCGCAGTTATGTACGAAATACACGTATACATAGATTAATTTCAAGTTATTTAAAAGCCTCGAAATGGGAAACAATAAACGCTTTTTTTGCGAGTGGAGGCTTCTTTGAAAGCAAATCTATCTAACATTTTCTTACTGCCACAATGACACCCCTAGTGGTTTAGTTTGGGGATTGTCATCGTTGGACGGATGAAAGGAATGCGAAGCCTTTTGCCATTGGCCTGAGCACTTTGGATAGAGGGTGAGCGTAGTCCTCCCGACGTCTGTCTAGTCGGCTGCAGTTTTAAGGGTGAAAAGTGAAGAGTAAAAGGGCGGCTTAGAAATGACCTACGAGAAGAGGAGGTCAGTGGTCAGTGGTATTTCTGTAGAGTTGGAGGTGCCTTCACGATACCGCGATACTTTAATTTTAATCAACTCCCAAAAATGACACTTCGGGGAACCAGAACTTGCATTTTTCTTCCCATTTTAGAAGCAGGCGAAAATCCGATGAATCAAACATTTTTGCGCACTATTTACCTTATGAGGTAACAAAACTGTATGAAAGTAACTTCATTATTGATGCACAGAAAGGCTGAGAGGGAGATTGACAGCAGGGCCTATACCACTACCTTCGAGAGGCTGAAAATTTGTGCCTGTGTGTGTGTGTGTGTAGTGAAGAATAAAGAAAAACAACGGTACCCCAAATCGCTCACTACTTGTAGAATTAAAATTACATCTATACATGCAGGATTTGTATGCACTGAAGACTGGAAAAACAATTTCCCAGGCATTCTTTAGGTGCCTGTCGATTTACCGGGTGCTTTCAACGATTTTGCCTGATTTTACTCCCCACGCATCCTTGTTCAGATCCTAGTGTTTCCTCCACAGGCAGGATCAATCATACTAGTGTATGATAAACACGACTATTCTGCAGGATGCCGTGATGGCAGGTCAATCCGTGGCGATGGGAGAGGTCACGCCATTGAAATCAAAGAAAAAAGTTACATCTATTCACTACAGTTTCCAGTTTAATCGACTAAGCAGGAATGCGTTGTAAATTTTTTCATGTTTGCTGTTATTAAGTGGAGGTGAAAAAGTGAAATTGAAGCTAAAAAACAAATAAATAAGGGCAAAGTTCTAGCCAATGAGTGATAGGGATTCCAGATTATCCTGCTCCTGATTTACTAGTGGTTGGTTAATAGGAATGGGAAACATTGCCGACTTGACCAATCATAGCTGCAGCATTAAAAATAAATACTAATCAATGCTGCTGCCTTTTTCAGGGAAGAAAATGTTCTCCACCTGAACTTGACACCTACTTCTTACATTGTGCATTTACCTAATCGTTAAACAAATGAGGGCATCTAACAATCCCTTTTTTGGAGCAAAAAAATAACATTTTGTAAGTATAGCTGTGGAAAGTTACCGCATTTAAACAGCCGACTACGGAGAACCTGAAGTTTAACAAAGACACTGGCTTCTGATTGGTTGGCGGTGTGTCACCTTGACGAAGTTGGAGCACACATTTTAAGCCCAACTGAGTCAGCTATATGCATGCGCATGTGCACAGTTTCAGTTGATCGCAAAACCCACTAGAAGCATCGAATCAGGTCTCCACGTAACCTCGATCCATGTCGATCTCATACCTGGATGACATTTCTGACGGAAGCGGGACATTTATCTTCCTGAAGCTGTTGGCTAGGTAAGATTTTTCAGAAGAAAATTGGTCTTTTAAAGAGCCTTAAAAAATTTCCAGTTGAATCCAATAATGACCCGAGAGTTAGCAGAATTAATCCTTGAAAGAGCCTCCACACATTTAAGTAGTATGCAGAACGGACTATCTAGTGCTCATCCGTTCATGCATTTTTCTACATACCCTTGCATATTCGACAAGACTTTTTTTAAAACAAGACACAATAACTAACCAGCTTTTATTAGGTGATAGTAAATTACCAGCTCAAGCTGTCATTGATCTTGGCGTTAAAGGTATCACCCGTGAAAGAAATAGCATGGCTCTATTTAAGTAGCATAACAACTGTAGCATTTGATTTTTCACTAGATTCAGACATATTCCCTTTTTGAAGCTGCCTGTTAGGTAGAATGGGCTATGCGCAGCCAATTTCCCTCCTTAAAGACGGTCCGATCAGAAGTCATAGCTGCTCATAAATCGCCAGGTCACATTTAAGTAGCATATGGGGGGATTGTTTTTTTATTGTAAGACCGCAGCAGAGTACATTTGAAATGACTGGAAGAAGCCTCGATTTGTTAGTTCTATCGAGATACAGCGCACCCTCTTACCCTTGAAAAGAATTAGCCCTTAGAAGTGAAGAATTTTGCGTAGATAACAAAGGTACGATAAACTGTGTTCCTATTTTGACGTCCTCAAATGAGATGTCTAGACCTGCTTTTACTGGTGTAATGGCATTGTTTATTACCTACTCAAGTAAGTAGGTGAGTATTGTGAGTCTCGTGACATTCATGTGACAGGGGTAACAAGAAATGGGCTGGATGGCAAGGAAGGCCTTATTTAGGTGAAAGCAAATTCATCCCATCTACGATTTCTGGCAAAAAAAGTGACCTTGCGTACACAAATAACAGCAGTTTCCCGAAACTACTCCACACACCCCATCAGTGCCACAGAGGTAACAGGAATTTGCTGTATGGAAGGAAAGGTCGACTGAAATGCCCTCAAAACAGACAAATATTTAATAATTCTGCTTATTTCTGTTGCATATGGTCAGTTAGGTGTTTAAAGAGACGCCAAATCTTGCTTGCATTGCATCCTACACTTGACTACCTTAAAATGAGTTGTTCATTCTACAGTTTGATTCGACGATTGCCGATAACACACGGGTTATATCTATGTCAGGCACAAATAAAATTACGTTTTCGTCGAGTAAATCTGATTGTACAGTTTACCAGTCAATATCAATGGATCCATTATCATCTACTGACTAAGGAATTCAGTAGTAGATAACGCCTTCTTAGGTTTCAACAAAAAAACGTTTCAACTAGAAATCGTATTTAGGGGTCATATGCAAACTTTACTCACAGTCCTATTCTTTGGAAGTCCGAGCTCAATGGTGACAACTTGCTGATTCCACTACAGCTAGATAGTGTAGCATTTGAGTGACACATTGACAGCAGAGTAGACGTTTTCACATATTTTGGCAGCTACCTTGAGTGATTTCCCTACCTACGTCCATCTCTCTTGTCGATGAGCTGTTTCCCTCCGGCCACGGACCCCGAGTTTATGTCCCAGCCCAAGAACCTTGGTCGTATTAGTCATGCGTAATTATAGTGACCGCCTGACCTTGACCTTTGAGTGGGTGCTAGAGGTATTTGGATGTTAATCAAACAAGCAGGAAGGGAGGAAGAACGCGACGTTCTGGGATGTTTGAAAATTAGCTCCCCACACGGAAACTTTTCAGCGCATCAAACGAGAACGTCTTCCTGGGGTTGCAGCACCCCTGGCACTTCGTCACTCTCAAAATCCGACTTGAGCTCACCTCAGGTCTGTCTCATTGCCGCGATTAGAATCGCCGCCTGCCCAAGAGGAATTGCCTTGTTCTTGTTCGACTTTCTAGAGGTTTCCTAGTAATGGCTATCTCCCGACCATTTCAGAGGCTCGTCCTCTCGCTCGCTCCCTTCTTATTAGACAGGAATGCAACTTAAGTTCACCGATAGCCGCTCAAAGGTCAAGGCTAACGAATTCCTACAACTACCATTAACCGACTCGGACTGCGCATGCGTTAATCTCCTCCAGCCGACTAGCCGTCATGTTCATGCACGCACGTCGCCACTCTGCACTTACTCACGCGCGCGGGTTAACAAAGATATCTTCCGCGGCCTTGTCTGCTGACTGTCGGGTGACGAGCTCGAGGGATCCGGACCACAAGCACAACATGTGATAAATGACTTATAAACTGTTTGCGGGATTGTATGACCACGGAAGCTGTGGTGATCCCTATGACAAAATCTGAGACATACTGTTTAAATACACTTGGTTGTGAGCATTCATGAATATACTAGAGGACTAGCGGCAACCAATTGGACCTATTTACAGCACTTTGGATGCCCATGACCTTGTGTAAATCGAGTGACAAATCAGGAGGAGCTCAACGGAGACAACAAATGGAGAGGTGTGACAGAGGGCTCGAGAATAGGGTGGGAAAAGAAGGGATCCAATTTCAAATCACAAATATTCAGGACGTTCAAAAGGAAGTGTTTTGCTGGAGATACATAGCTTTTTAATTTTAAGCTATTTTTTTAATAATGCTTCGTGTCCATGCTAAGTTCTGATCTTTGTGCTCCTTGAACGAATTACCGGCCACCAATCTCCCATTTCTCGAGTGACATAATTTGCTGTTGGCATTAGTGAATGTAATGCGGGACTTATTTTCACCACCTCTTTGGCAAACTTACCTCAACTGTCGTTTTAGTGATGAGTGAATGGGCTCAAATACGATTATTCTTCTAAACCGGTATTCTACCTTCTCTTTCTGGCTCTTAGATGGAAGGGCAGCCTCTACAAGTTGGTGTGGTTGGATCTGCTTGGCTATCTTTTCCTTCACTACTTCGTCCAACTCATCTACTGGGTATTTCTCAACCACTCACAAAGAATGTAAGTGACCCACCACCTCAGTGTTACCCCAAGGTAGCGAGATCATTGGCTGGCTCAATGCCCCGATTTCCATGGTTTAAATTCAAGGTCACCAGTTGTTTAAGCATCTAGACACGATTGTTTCAGTTAAAAAATGAAAAAATTCTGCATCTTTTTATTTGAAAAGAGCTTTTAATGAAGTTGTGGACTACTGTGAGGAGATCCGTGGACAAGTACCCATCTCCTTTTTGCTCGGTTTTTTCGTCTCTGGTGTCATTGGACGTTGGTTTGATACCTACATGTACATTCCATGGCTCAACAACATCAGCTATCAAATCGCGGTGAGTAGGAAAACCTCGTGTCCCTTAAAATGTGAAAGTGACAAAACGGGTTATAGCCGAATTCGTTTTCTCCAGGCAACGATAAACTGTGCGGATCCCCGAGTGGCCTTGAGAGCTCGGCTGACGGTGATGCGACACCTCAATCTCTCTTGGATTCTCATGATGCGAACCATCAGTGACAGAATCTCCAATCGTTTTCGAATGCAGTGTACTGCCACAGAGGGCCATAAGAGGCAGCGACTGCGACACAATCGTCACGACATATTCCGGAGCTCTGAGGTGTGTTTTACTACAACTATCTCAAGCTAGACACTGTGATGTACTCTTCGTGTATGAGTAGTGGATACCTGCACTGCGGATGAATCTTTGGCTAGAAGGTTAATCAGTTACCGCATATTTGATGACCGTGGCAGTAGCAATAATAAATAGATTTATAAGTCTTTTTTGAAGTTCACATAAGTCTCACCTGAAGGCTATATAGAGGCACAGAGGCCCTTCGTCACACCATTAGGACGAAGTCACAAATCGTGTAGCTGCTTCTGCGTATGGACGTCGTCGCCTGAGCTCACTGTGATCGTCCCTCTACCGCAGCCACGAGGCGGAATCGAAGCAGATGAAGAATTCGTATGTATAGAGCAAGGGTACAGTCTATCAGTGGTTGCGCACGCTATAGGCCCAATTACATCTTCCAAATATCGCGTTTTCGGTAAAGCAAGCTGCCTCTGAGACGAATGGATTTATCGGTCAGTGATGGTTAGTCTGGGCTCTCGTACCAATATCTCGTTTCGAGTCCTCTCCTGAAGTCATAAAAGCCATTCTGCTACAAAGGTAGGAAAAAAATTATCAGTTGACAGAAACGGAGTTACAAATCACGAGGTGAACGACCACCTATTTTTAAGTACTACTTGGTCAGCTATGAGTAGATACGTCCAACTATGAGAGACTAACTAGCTTTGCTGCTTAGCATGTTTAAACACAATTCGACAGGCGATTGAATCACAATTCGTGATACTTTTTTTGCAAAAAAAAAACATCGCAGAAACAAGGTCAATGGCAGACCCTATCATTTTAGTGGCCTGATGAAAAGTTGAAGAAGTCTCATTCTAGGAAGCGAGGCTCTTCACCCCTCACCGCAACCTCGCCCTTGCAGGCACAAACAAAACCATCCCCAACAGCCTCAGGTGTCTTCAGCTTTAATAATCCGGATAACAGCCTCTTCGATGCGCCTGATGACTACGGGCTGCGAGAGACGCTGAAGAGCATCAACAACGACAAAAGTAGGTCGCACACACTGTGGGGCGATTCAAGGCAGACTTTAGGGTTTGGCATGACCACCGATTAAACAATTGGTTTCATAACAATTTTGTGAGTCCCTTGACGGTATCCACAGATCTGAAAGCCACTTCCGAGTCTTTTAATACCTCTAACAACGAGCCAATTAAATCTAAGGATAATTGGATGTTGAACCCGTCTTAGTAATGCAGACGGCTCGCAAAGCCTCGACACGTTTGCCATGAGGTCCAGTAATGTAAATTACAAAAATTCACCAATTTCATCGCTTGAAATTAACCTAAACGGATAGAGTACACACCAGTGACGAATATGTTTATCCAAGATCACAGCATGCTATGACCTAAGGAGTGGAAAAAAACAGCGTTCATTACCCCTGTCTAGGTATTTTATTTATCAGAAACTTTACTTCCTCAGAGCATTTTTAGATCGGAAATTGAGGATGTACTCCTATAAATCACAATTCTTTAAACAAAAACTAGGCAACTTTAGCGCTGATCTACTTGTACTCTAAAGTAAAAATACAAATTACTAGAATATTTACTTTCTCGCCAATTGCGAACAACTTGCTGCCTCACCGATCCCCTCTGCAGCGTTCGAGGCTCGCGCGACCACGACGTCGAGTTCTGATTGGGTGAGGGGATGAGGCTCAACTCTGATTGGCCAAGAGGTGATTTTATTGCCGTTTGTCTTTTCAAGAGGTGCAGCAAACCTTTGGCAAGTTGATAACGGAGCCCGAGATCCGCGCATTCGAGGCTATTGGGAGGCGATACTTCCAAAAAACGCGTCAACGCTACCTGCCCGAGTACTGGGTGCCCCTCCAGTGGGCGGTGCGTGTGGTGCAGAAGACCGCTCTGCACGGCAACATCCCCGACCCGAAGATCTTGATTACTGTCTTGAATGTGAGTTCCACCCATCTGTGTATGTCTGCCTATCCACGAATCCGCCAGACCTCTGAGTCCGGCCATTCATCCACTCACCCGTTTATTGTATTAATCATTCGCGACGATGGTGGTGCCAATTGGCCAATAATGCTGCCAACTCTCTAAAATTGGCATAATTCATACTTCATGTTTATTTGGACCTTTAGGAGCCAAAAGTGTTTCTCATTTCCTAGTTTTGCCAGATCTTCATTTGAAGCAAGATTTACTGATCAACTCAATCAATCACCATCATAAGGGGATGCATCTTTAAATTCTCCTATTCTTAATTCCATCATATCTTGCTGTTTCTTTTTTAGGAACTTGGAAAATTCCGGGAACGGTTGCAACTACTTAAAACCTTCAGTAGTCTCACAATGCCACTTGTCTACACTCAGGTATGAGGAATTAACTTTTTAAAATATGTCTTATTGGTACTTTAGACATAAAATAAGTTAGTTTAATAGAAAACAAAACATCTTCATGTTTCCTCACGAGCTTGAATGGCAGTTCTCTTAGCCTAGTAGTCAAAAGGAAAGACACAAAGTGGGTATAACTGACATGTTTCTTGAAGGTGGCGGTTATTGCGGTGTACAGCTACTTCATCTGTCAAATCCTGGCGACTCAGTACACCGAGCGTGCCGTGAACGAAACCAACATCAATGCCAGCATGCCAGTGCCTCTTTTCAGCGTCTTCTACTTCATCTTCCTTGTTGGATGGCTAAAGGTAACATTTTGATTAGCCAACCAACTTTGCTGGGGTGTTACTAACTAAACATAAGTAGAACCGCCGCCTAATTAAGTAGAGTTGGCAGACAACTAGAGCGCGATGAGTTGTGACGATTTGCTAAACG